GGGGGAGAAGAGAGAGATCCCCCACCACCACTCTCAAATGCCGGGTCTCTTCCTTAACGGCATGAGGGCCTCAAAGACCTTCCCTTGTGGCCAAGAAACAGGGGACCTGGCCCTTCGGAAGCTCTTTCCAGGCCTCCTTTCAGCCCAGAGGGTTCACACGGTTGGTAAGAGGTTCAGGGGCATGGAAAATGCCACTATGCCCTCCTCCCAAGGAGAGGAAGAGAGAAGAAGCTGAATGAGCAGACTGGCTCCTGCCGTGCAGCAACCTTAGTCTTGGCGAAATACAGGGTGAATGGAATATTTTGGGGTCCCATTAAAGCTGAGCTTCAGGGAGGAGTCCCAGCTCAGCAGCAGAGCCCCTGCTCTGCACAAGGAAGCTTCAACATCATCACCACCAAACACGCCTCTGTGCTGCAGTGCATGTCTGCTGCCCTGGGGAGCTGCTGCCAGCCAGAACAGAGAACACTGGCTGGCTGGACAAAGGGTCTGGTGTGGCATAAGGCACCTTGGCAAGGACTTCCCAGCGAAGCAGAGAGCCAATAAAGCGACGCAACTAAAGTTATCCAAATGCTTCCACCAAAGAAGCTGGGGAGGGGGGGGAGAAAAGGGGCCGCTGGATAGAGACCCTGGAATGCAGGGGAACCACGACAAGCATGCAGACAAGCAGGATCTTAGGAAGCAACCACAGGTCTTGCAATGAGCAGAAGCAACCCAACCATGTTCTTGACTTCTCACCTGCAGCAAGAAGACTGTGGGGCATCAGAGCACAGAGGTCTTGAAAGCAAGGGGAAAAGAGGCATCAAAGTCTATCATTCTGCGTTTATTAGAAAACAACAGTCAAGCCCCCCCCCCAATCACGTAACAGGCTATATCTTTAAAAAGGTGTGATCTCAAAAACTGAAGCCTGCGAGCAGCCCTCCCAAGACAAAAGAGAGGAGGCGGCTCAGAGACCTGTCATGGCTCCCTTGGTTTGTGAGACGCCATGGCTTCTTGCCTGCAAAGAACCTAAAAAGGCAGACTCTGAGCAAAGACCAAAAGCTCCCCGTCCAAGCAGCGTCGCACATCGGGTTGTGCCAGACCAGGAGCAACGAGCCAAAACATCATCCCTCGACAATTTGCAGGGATTCAACTCTTCCACAGCACCCCTCCCTTGAACAATGTGTTATTCACACAATGCCTTTGCTTCTCTTTAATTAAAACCCTTGAAAGGAGATGTAAATTAGGGACTAAATGTTTTCTTTGTCCAAAAGCACAAAGGATTGATAAAGAGTCCAGTTCCTGAATAGCCCCTTCTTGTGCTGGAATGAAGACATCCACAAACACCCATTACACACACACACAGAAGCCAGACTCCTGCGGACTCTGATTGTGTTGGCTCAGAAGGAAGTCTGGGACCACTTCCTGCGCACACAGACGTTGCCATCTGAGGAGAGCTGCCTGCTGGTTGCATCAGAGCTGAGAATCACTTCCATCCAGATGGAAATAGAGAAACATCCACATCCAGATCCCGAAAGCCTCCCTTGAGGTGAGAGCTGCTCAGCCACAATGTGCAAACATTCCCCACCTCTGCCTAGCTCAGGTTGGACGCTGCCCTAGAGGGACAGGCCTGGGCAGCCCTCCGCCTTGCGCTGCAGAGACACAGACAGCCTCCTGCCCACAAAGGTTAGCTCAAAATCCAAGCAAAGCCCAGAGAAGAGAAGCCTTCATTTTTAGGATGGCCTCTCCCCAAAGAGTAGCCCAGGAAGGGGAGCTGTGCTGTGCGTGGGGTCTATGCCCCAAACAACGAATCTTCCCATCTCTTGCCAGATCCTTTACGTGCACACTGCTTCACACACACACACACCCCACATGATGTCAGAACCCTTCAGCAGCACATCTGAGTTGCCCTGCTCGCATTATGGTCATGGGCCTGCCTGCTTCCCGTGTGCTCTTACAGACATCCCACTAGGAGCTTTCAAGTGGAATACAGGAGCGCTCCGCCCTCAAGCTCAGTGAAATTCCTTAAGGGGAACTTCCCAAGAGGAGGGTAAAGGAGATGTCCCAGACCCTCACCTGTCCAGCTGGTATGTGTCCTGGCCACCAGGCGATGGCCGGTTCCCTCATGCCACCTTCAAAGGTCGTCTGCTTGCCGCACAGGAAAGGACCGTTGCTACCCGCTGGGGAAAGAGGAAACGGTTGTTCTAAAACCCATCTCCGTGCGAGGAAAGCTAGAAGTTTGACTCAAGGGAACCCGTGGTAGGATGGTTCCATTCCAAAGGGACACCATGAGTTCTGTCCTGGTATTCGGGCACTGTCACTACACCTCCAACCAACTGAGAGTTTCCTATCTGAGTGGGTCAAGCAATGTCCGAAACAATCTCCCAGAAATGACCCATTTACGCCCCCAATGCTTGCGACCTCAATAGAGGAAGAGCCAGTTGATCCTTGGCAGACAAAGCCTTCTTGCCGCTTGGGACTGAGGCTCCCCCTGGAAACAGGGGCAGGGCTCCAAGGCAGCAGCCCGCTGAGCCCAGGGTCTGTTTAAGAGCCAGCCCTTGCCCAAGGTCACAAACAAAGCCCAGGGAAAGGACACTCGTAGGGTTCCCTGAGCCCTGTGTGCTCCCCCAATCAACCTCTCCGGCACCTGCTTTGGAGATGGGCGGGGTGTGCGCACGGGAACAAAACACAGTGTGCAAGTGATGAATTCACAGCGACTGTGCCCAAGGGAAATGAAAAGTTAAAAAATGACAAAATGAAGCAAACCTGTGAATGCAAAGGAATTGCCATCTTAGCAGCTTTCCAGGAGCATTCAGCTGATGTGCCGACAAGACGCACTAAGAAGTCACAGATTGAGGTCCCACGTCTTAGAAGGATGTGAACTGACTTCTCGAAACAACCAATTAAAAAAAACCCATTCTGACCCTGATAGCCATACAGTCACTCACCATCGCCACAGACAGTGTGGAAATGCAGGCCTCCCACTACACCATTAATGAAAGCAGAAATCACAGGAACGACCCTGGAAATTGTTCTAGTTTGGTACCATTAATTAATTGAGCCTCGAATTCTCCACAATCCTAAAAAGTTTTACACAGAGAGACTGACCTTGCTGAGGTGCCGAAATGAGGGCAGCACCATTGTCAGACGTAAAAAACACAAAAGTGTTCTCGCTTATGCCCAGATTTCGAAGAGAGCTCAGTATTTTCCCAACGCTGCTGTCAATTTCTCGCACTGCATCGCCATACCTAGGAGGCAGGGAAAACAAAGCTGTCAAGGAGCATGCCTGGGCTGGGGTGGGCTTATCATGTGTTTATGCGATAACATCAAATACCTCTACCTATCTATCAGCACAAACGATCACATTTTAAAAACCCAAGAGCTACTCAAAGCCTCAGCAAGTCAAAAATAAAATAAAACGGCAAAAACAGCAAGAGTTCATTTACAAAAGGGAAGCTGCAAAAAGCTGCAAGCATGGATATTGCCCCTGGAACAGGAGAGTAGTTCTGCACTGCTGCTGGGCACCAAACGTCTACAGAACACAGTGCTCATAAAATGCAGAGTCGTGTGACCCATTGAACACATGGACAGCGCAGCCTCCTGAATACTTACTCAGAAGTAAGCCCTTCTGTTTTTCAGTGGGGCTTCTAGGTAAGCATAAGCATTTAACAAGACGTTCATGCAATTCAACACAGTGGGTTTCCACTCTCAGTTAACATGTGTAGGATTGTTCTTCTATTGGACCCAGCCCAAATTAGCTTTGAATATTGCCCCCACGTTGAATATTGTCCTCACATAGTCATCTGAATCTCTTACTTCCTTCTGTAACACTTTTATCTCAGACCCTCAGAAATGAGTTAAATCTTTAGCTCAGGTTGAATCGTCCGAAGCAGCTGACATGTCTTTGCCCCTGAACACAAATACCCCCAAACTTTAAAACTCTTTGGATTTTATACAAGGGAACAAGGGAGTGGAGGCAACACTTTGGCTCAAAAAGCGACTTACAGCCCTCGCTGGCTGGTGCCCAAGAACTCCCTGGAGGCATACACAGGCGCGTGAGTGGCATCGATTGCCCAATACAGAAAGAACGGCTGTTGCTTGGCGTGCTGTGCGCTAATGAAATCAAGTGCTTCCTGGAAAGGACAAGAGGAGCTACTTTAGACAGGCTGCTCACTCACAAACACCTGGAGGAAGAAACAGCTCGTAGGTTTCTGAAACCTGGCGCTAGAGTTAAGAGTACCTGCAAGTACATCTGAGTTAAATTTGCTTCCCCAGTCTTACGGTCAATTTTTACGTCTTCGTAATACCTGAAAGACAAAACAAGACTGAGAAAAATAGTCCATGTGTATTTAAATATAGGGCAAGGAGGAAATAAGGGCAGCCAGGCTTTATGCAGCCAGAGCCAGTATCCCCACATCTGCCTGCAGCAGATAACATCTGCTCAAAGTGGTTTTGTGGGATTTCCTTTGCTCCTCCACAAAGGCCTGATCTCAGTGTTGATAAAGCACAAGCACATTGTGGGGCTTCCTCCCTATCAGGTGATCAGCCCCATGCAAATTAATACTTTTCGCCACAGAAAGAGCAGCCAGAAGCACCTCTCCCCTTGATATGGAGAGATGCTACATTTCCACACAGGAAAAAAAGTGAACAGAGTGTGGTTTTTAGAGAGATTTCCTCTAGAAGAACATCAGCTGGTGGATTTTAGCCAACCTTACAGTTGCAGAGGAAGCAGGGAGGGGGAGCAGGCGTTTCCTAACCCCTGAATGATTAACTTTGCCATCTCGTTCTTGTTAATGGAGATCGCATTCATAATTAACTGCAACCGGGTGGGTATGGCCAGCTCCCCTGGTGCACTTATGAGGTGGGGTTTTCATCAGTTCATCTCGGGTGCCTGCAGAGCCTCGGCAGGCGTAGACATGCGGGGGGAATTCCTGGAAACCGTAGCCCTGCAGAGGTCGAGAAGCCCATCGCTCCCTGGCCTCTTACAGGAAGAGAAGCCAAAGAGCTGCCTCTAGGGCTCTGCTGGAAGACACAAGGGCAGCAGGGCAGGTTCACACCCTCTGTGGCGGGGGCCTGTGGGCGGGCGGGCGGCTTCAAAAGAGCCAGGCACAACCAGAAAGAAAGCAAACTTGCCCCAAAGAGGCTGGAGTCGCAGAAAAGCAGCTACCTGCCAATCATTTCCCAGTCCCTATAAAAGGGGATGTTCGGAATCTCTTTGTTGTCGTAAGGTCCAAAGTGGCAGTTCGGGGATCCAAACCACTCATCGAATCCATGCCTCAAGGGGTGGAACTGCGACTGGTGGCCCAGGTGCCTGGGAGGAAAAAAGAACCAGTTCTGAATTCCGTCAGAGGGGATCAAGACTGCACGAGACAAACGCAATGCTGCATTAAGAAGGCTGGAAGAAGGAACAGCCCACGGCTGGGAGAGAGAGGCCAGGGAAGGCCAGTGATATCCAGCAGTATTTACCAGCCAGAGTCATGCTGCTCGTCCAAATGGCGCTGGTTGCCTTTTGCCCCTCTAGCCTGTCTAACTCTCACATTCCCAACCTCCCAAGGCCTTCTGCGGGGCCGCCTCTTGTCTGCCAACCCGACAGCAGGTGACGCCGTGACCTTCCATTCCTCAAAAGGGGCTTGACTAACCTTATGTATTCAGAATGTCCTAAACGCATCTGATCCGACCCACTCTCAGAAACCAAGCAGGGCCAGACCTGGCTAGGACAGGTGGGAGATCACAGGGGAAGAGCAGGGATTCCCATAGTGCTTGGGAGGACCCTGCCTCAAACCCTGGAGGGCCACTGCGGCCCATCCGGGTTGCCCCAGGCTCGTCTAAAAGAGGGTTCAGCTCAGGACAAGGCAGCTGTCTACGCTCGGACAATGTGCCGTTTCTAGACCCAGATAGGATCTCCCACATTCAGGACTTCCACAGCCAAACAACTGCACAGAACAAGGGAAGACAGGACAGGGCACTGGGGGACCTCTGGCCTTCCAAAATGGCTCGACCTCCGACCCTCAGAATGCCTTACCTTTGCCCTCACCGGCTGGCAGCTTCTGGGAGAGGGAGCAAGAACGCTCGGGAGCTCCACAGGCTTAGTATGTGCAATTTATGCTATCACAGAGTTGCAGATTTTTCAGTACTCAGCACAGAGTTCTACCCCCCCATCCACCCACCCGAGCCTTGCAACCTACATCGTTCCCATTGGCCCTATAGTCGCTCACTGCGCCACTCCACTGCTGCCAGGGAGAGGAGCGTGTCACAAGGGAAAGGTGTAAGAGAGAGCAAGATGTCCAGCATGGCCTCTCGAACAGCACTGCACACACGATTTGGGGCATCTGGCGCTAGAAACAGGAACACAACAGAACTGGGTCTAACCAAGAGCGCGTGTACTGGGCTCACGAGAGGCACTGTGTTGCAAGCTCAGACTTAATTAGCTTTTTGCTAAGGCTCTGAGGTTGTTCAAGACTCACTGCCTTCCAGAGAACTCCCCGGAACCAATCTGTGTCTGTGTGTTGTTTATTTCCTTTCCCCAGGTGTATGAATTTGCATTTATTAGCACTCCGCAGCAACCCATTGCCTACAGCCCGCTGTGCAGAACCTCCCCTCCTTTTCCACAGCACTCTGCCATTCGGAACTGCAGCAATAAATAATTCACTGCTCTTGGTTGGTTTGCTCGCTCTCCTGGGTCTGCTTTGTTTTTCTGGTGGCAAACAACTCGGTCAAGAGTGAAGGTTCACCAGCTTGTTTGCAAATTCCCTGAAAAGCACTAGGCCTTCTCCTGGCATGTATGATCCTGTGCCTATTTTTATCCTGTTGCCTCCCTTCCTTCTTGACAAAAGGTATTAATTAATGAATTAGCCACTACAGCTGCCAGAGTGGGACTCTGGGAGCTGTGCTGTTGTTGTTTTTTCTGAAAGACATTTGGCCAAGGTCCAGTATGGCCACTGTCGTTTCAGTCCAAAAAACCCGAAGAAGTGGACTTGTCCACAAAAGCTCACATTAAAACAGAGCAGTGAGTCTTTAAGATGCCACATTTTTATCTTCTTTACTTTTTTTCTTTTGTTTCAGTCCAAAAAAGGACCTTAGCCAAGCATTCCTACTATCTCTTGAGAGGTGTATGTGGGGCCAGAATGAGAAAATGTTCGCCCCACATGCTGCTCAGCTGGCAGATCAGGACAACCCTAGAGATGAACAAGTTTAGCTGTGGGTGTTAAGAGCCTGGGGATGGGAGGAGGAAGCGATGTGAGGCTAAATCCACTTGCTAGTGCCAACTAGAGCACCCCACTGAACGAATGGGACTTGTTCGGTAAGCCCTATTAAGTTAGTGGGCTCAACTCTGGTTGGAAATAACAAAAGGATTTCAGCCACAGCTTTCAGTCCTGAAGGTAAGACACACAAAAATCATTTTACAAAGAATTTCCCCTTTGAAAGGAAATGCATCCATTCTTATTTCAGCAGGAAATTAACACGCTGGCTGGAATAAACAGGGGAGCAACAGGAGGAGAATGGTCACCTTTGCCGTTTATCTTTTCTTTCTCCCTCCCAGCG